AGAGAAGGCGAGGTTCGGAAAAGAACGAGACTTTACAGGGACGGATCACCTTTAATGAGGCAAGAATGGGTAGCAGTCAGATTAGTTAGCTGCTGCGCTAACCCAAGAAAAGACCAAGTATATATAGGCATATATGTGGAAATCCACTGTCTTAAGGGGGCCTGTTCTCCAAGGTTGATTGGAGTAGTTATCTCTTAAACGTCTGGGGCAAGGAATTCTGGAGATCAGCCAGAGGCTGGACTGGTTGGGAGCTGGGCATAATCAACCTAAATGTCCATTTTTTTTTCTTCAGGTGAGAGAGTTCTTTGTGTTGCATACAGTGGTGGGGAGGCCCTGGAGGGGAGTTTGCACTCCAGGCTATTTTGAGCCATGTAACTTTCCTTCATGTAGGATGAATATGAAATATTTGGGGACTATGTTAACCAGCCTCTAAGTTGGTCTCCCCAAGTCATCACCATCTGGTAGTCCCCTCCAGCACTGAATTAGACCTGACTCATGTGATCAAAAAAAATAAATAAATAAAGTGAAAGTAACAGATATTTCCATCTTTATCTTCTGCCTACTCACCCTGGGACGATCCCAGTACCATGTCATGGGGACACTCAAGTTGCACTGAAGCGAGTTTCATGTGGAGAAACCTGTGGCCTCATGCCATCAGCAAGCACCAGTTAACCACACTTTACCTTGGCTGTATACCTACCAGCCTCAGTCAAGCCATCAGATGATTGCAGCCCCAACTGATACCTGATTGCAACATCATTAAAGCAAGAACCAACCACCTAAGCCAATCCCCAGTTCCTTATACACACAAACTGTGAAAAAAGATTTTTTTTTCCAAAGTCACTAAATTTCAGGTAATTTATTGCATAGTAAATACAATACATAGTAAATACTATGTAAATACATAGTATTTACATAGTAAATACTAAGTAAATACATAGTATTTACATAGTAAATACTAATACAGATGGTGTGTATGTATGTGTGATGTGTGTGGGTATGTGTGATGTCTGTGTGTATGTGTGGGTATAAATGCATCTAATTAGTAGTTAGGCTGTATATAATCTATGAATTTAATAATTACTCTTTCTTTAAGATAAAGTTCTTTGTTAGTAAAGATGGTAATATAGAAGATTATGCAGTGCCTAAGAGCAGTATACATCACACAACCATTTGGAAAACATTTTTTCAATATATAATGAGACCCTTAAAATATTTTATATCTGAATCCCTATTTCAAACAATAAAAAATAATTATTTGAAATAGATCAGCCACTTAAATATAAGGAATAAAACTATAACAATCTCAGAAGAAATCCTAAGGTTAAAATTTCATGACCTTGAATTTGGCAATATATTCTTCAATATAGTAACAAAAAGCATGTGTAATAAGAGAAAAAAATAGACAAATCATACTTCATCAGAATTTTTAAAATGTATGCACCAAAGGACATTATCAAAAAAGTGAAAAGACAATATACCGAGTAGAAGAAAATATTTGCAAGCCTTATGTTTGATGGTGGTCTGCTATCTGGAATGTCTGAATAGCTCTCAAACTCAACTACAATAAGAAAAAAAAAGGTAACAGACATGAATAGGCATTTCTCCAAAGAAGAAACCACGAAAGACACACAAGCATATTAAAATACACTTAACATCATTAGTCTAATTATGGAGGTTTACACCTAAACCACAATGAGATACCAATTAGGATAGCTATTATAAGAAGAATGGAAAATAACAGCAACTGGTGAGGATTCAGACTGGTACATTTACATGTTGCCAGTATGAATGTAAAATGGTGCAGCAATTTTAGAAAGTTGTTTAGTGGTTTCTCAAAAAGATAAACAGAATTATCATATTACCTAGTGATTCTATACCTCAATATGTTTACCTCTAAAGATAAAAATATGTAAAAAAACAACTTCTTGTGCACAAATGTTCACAGGAGCACTATTAATAATGGTCAAAAGGTGGGGGGAAAAAGCCAAATAACCTTCATGGATGAATGGATAAACAAACATGGTACATACATATAATGAAATAGTATTCAACCATAAAAAAGAATGAAGTATTAATATATATTATAATTCAGATAAACCTAAAAAAATAGGTGGAAGAAACAAGATGAAATGTCATATACTCCATGATTCAATTCATGTAAAATATCTAAAATAAGTGAATTCATAGGTAGAAATTAGATTCATGATTATCAGAGAGTAAGGTAGGGAAGAATGAGGAATTACTGATTAATGAGAATAGGATTTTCTTTTGGGATGAATAAATTGTTTTGGAACCAAATAGAGAGTGTTTGAACAATACTGTGAATGTATTAAATACCACTGAATTGTACATTTTAATATAGCTAATTTTTTTAACTATTGTGAATTTCAGTTCAGTTAAAATTTTGCTATATCTTTTCACTCATAAACTCCTTTTATAAAAATGGATCCCATAAAATATTAATTCAAGAAAAGGGGGATACACTCAAAAACAGTTTCAAAACTGCCTAAAACAATGCTTTATATATGATAATTCCCGTTTCTCTACTTCTTTATATACAGGGAGATAAAAGGAATAAAACACACCAAAATAATTGAGTGGATGTGTTTGGGTTGGTTGGACTTATATGAACTTTTTCCCTGTTTCTGTTAATGGGCATTATCTGTGTGTGCACACACACTGACAGACACACCATGTAATCACAGCATTTAATTTCTTTAAAACCAATGACCCCAAATTGCCATCTCAGGGTACATCATGGTTTCTATTAAATTGTCTTTAATTTGGATTCAACAAAATTTATAGGTTTATTTTCTTTTCCTCACTAAATTGTCAATCTCTGAGCTAGTCTGAATTGACTGCTATATCTCAAAGACTTAATGTTGCTTCCAAGAAGCCTCATGTAGTCTGCCCACCTGGAATGTTTTTCTATTCATCCTTACCTATTTGACTCTCAGAGCCCAACCCATGCTTCCCTCTCTATCATGATTATCTTGAATGGAATTTTTTCTGTTGTTTAATATCACCATGCCTATAACACATCTTCAAGGCTTTATGTGGATATAAGTGTTTGAGTGGTATCACCTCTAACTGACTGTATGTTTCTTAAAGGAGAAGCTTCAGTCTTGTGTGTGCCTATAGGTGCACATACCACACCCCCTGCAGAATGTATAGTCCAGGAGTTTGTACTTAATAGATGATGAATAAATAAGAATATATAAATGAAGTATAGAAGATTATGAAATTTCATTTGATCATTTTTTACTTATTAAAGTAAAGTGAGCTTCCTCTCACTTCCAAAGACTATGTCAATAATATATCTTCATTCTTTCTGAAATTAAGCAAAAATATAAAAGGTGTTATTAAGATTGATCTATAGGTATATTTTTCGTGTTAATTATATTTTCACATAATTCTGATATATTTTGCCCCAGTATCCAAAGTCAACCTAATTTTGCATATTACATTCCAGAGTAGCTAAGTGTGACCCAGTTAATATACAATTTAAGAAAATATTCCTAGCAACAGATATGAAATATTTTCTGCTATATATTTTCTATAAGTTTTATAGATTACAATTTTAAATTTAAATCCATAATACATTTTGAGATTTTACATAATGTGAAACTTGAGTCAGTGTATTTATGGGGTTTTTGCTTGCTTGATTTGCCCATGGATATCCAGTTGCTTCAGGACCATTTGTTGAAAGTACTATCTTTCCGCCATTGAATTGCTTTTGCACTTCTGTCAAAAATCAGTTAGGTAGATTTGGATGTGTCTGTTTTTGAGTTATATTTTCTATTTCATTGATCTGTGTGTTTATCCTTCTGCTAGTTCTATATGTCTGAATTATGGTAGTTACTGAAAGCTATATAGCAGTCATTTTAATTAAAATTCTTTAGATAAATATTTTCAAAAACTTGGGAATATTGTATTATTTTTGCTTCTGAAACTTAAGCACTTTTCCTACATGGTTTTCAAAATCTCAATGAATAGAGAGAACACAGAACAAAAGTGAAGGAAAAGGGTCAAATTTTATAACAGAAAAAAAATGTCTTTGATTACAATTTCCTGGCCTTCTGTAGTGTAAATTAATTATTTTAAATAAGAAACATAAACTTGTCTAAAAATATAGCACATGTATATTTCAGAAGACTAAAACCATCAAGGAGAGGGTTCTTTGAACTGTAAATTATCATGTGCTCAAAGGCTTTCAATGCATTATATGAAGCTTTCTGCTTTAAGTCTGTAAATTTTTATTATCTGCCTTAAACCACACAAAACTTCCTTGAATAATTTCCAATCATTTATTTTCTAAAGAAACTAATCTGCTGAACTGCCTTCTCAACATTTACTTTGTTTTTTTAACAGTGAGAATTACATCTAAGTACAAGATACTCCACAACCAGGCATATTACTCTAATTGTGCTATAGAGCTGACATGGGATAATGAAATGCTAATTGCAATTAGAACATTTTATTTATTCAGAATTAATTCCTTGCCTTATCCCACTTTCAGAATTTTCTACAACTGCAGTGTTATGCTCCAACACCACCAAAGAATCCATTGACCATAAACTGAATTAATGTTTTTACCAGTCCCCTCCAACAATACACACTGCAGCTCAGGGAATAGCTATTAGGAAATTCCTTAATCCAAATATACTTATGACAGTTAAGTAGATATTAAGGCTTATGTGAGAATATCAAAAGCCCCCAGTTTTTGGATTTGCTGAGTTTGCCACACTCTCCACTAAAAGGGATGGCCTTGTATCTAGCCAGTACCTTGCAGATTGCTCCAGTAATTTACTAGCTAGGTAGGAAAGAAAAGACAGTATCACCAACATTCTCTTGTGCCATCTTAGGTATCAATAATCACCAGCAGCTATTGGATATGACAAATTTTCTCTAGTTAAGTAGATGACAAGGAAAACTATGAACTGTTACTTGAGTGCACCACAAATAAAACATTTTTGCAAAGAAGTTCATTCCTTTACCTGTTTGACATCATACGCCAGAAGAACATATTTTAAATCTGGTGAAACTGAATGTCTTGATGCTTTGAAGGTTACCTGAAAGTAAAAAGAAACAATTATTTTAAAACATTTAATAACAGGAAGATCAATAAGCATTTGGATATGTAAATATTAAAAATATCTCCATTATCCTCATAATACTGTAAAATAAGCATTCTCATTCACATTTTAAGTCTAAATAGTCATGCACACAGATGGACATAAAAACTTGGAAGAGCTTATACTAGACATTTGATTAAGAAAAATATTTGCCCCATATGTCCCCTACATTTTAACACTTATAGACTAAGTTAATATTTTCATTAAGGAAACAAAAACAAAACATCATTGGACTTCTTAAAATCAATCAAAATGCTTTTATATTTGCATGCTGGATTAATCAAAAGGAAAAGAAATAGTGGCATTCTGTGGTGTCATGATATTCTGTCTTTGCACTTTAGTTTTATCACTGGTTATATATTTATATTTTTGAAAATACATATATTAAAGACAAAATCTCGTTAAAGAAAACTCCCAGAGTGAAACAGATTTAGACACAAATGTTTTAATTATCTTGATTACCATATATATATATACATATATTTATGGCATATACAGCTTCCCTGGTGGCTTAGATGGTAAAGAATCCTCCTAGATGTGGTAGACCTGGGTTCAATCCCTGGATTGAGAAGATCCCTTGGATAAGGGAATGGCTACCCACTCCAGTGTTCTTGCCTGGAGAATTCCATGGACAGAGGAGCCTGGTGGGCTATAGTCCATAGAGTCACAGAGTCGGACATTACTGAGTGACTTTCACTTTCAAGTTCATACGAATTTGAAATGTGTTTATATGGTATATAAACAACTATGCTACAGATGTTCTATTTTGAGCCCTTCATTTTACCATTGAATAGATCTGATGTTGAAAAGAACTGAAAATAAGGTGAAGGATAAATACGTAGAGAGTGGAGAAATTGTTTTATTTGAAGTAGAATTTATATGTAACTTCAAATCTAGAGAAGGCCAGGAAATTGAGTTGATGCATCAAAAGCCTACAAAATACAAACACAAAAAAATAAACTATATATGGGTTTTAAGCAAATTAAATTTTAATGGTTTTTTTCAGAGAAATACATGTATAAAATAATTGTATATAGGGCAGTTTCCATAACACTTCAAAAAAAACAAAAAAGGATGAAGTCAAGATTTTAGTACTTATAAATTTTCAAACATATTGGAAAGGATAGGAAACTCAGACTAACCAATATTTGGCAAACTGTCTGTGGTATAATAGAAATATATATTTGGCCTTTTTTCCTGACTCCTGACACAGAGCTTCTAAAATGCTTGGGAGACTTCCCTTGTGGTCCAGTAGTTGACACTCCACGTTTCACCTGCAGTGGGCACGGGTTCAATCTGTTTGGAAAACTAAGAACCCACATACCCTGAAGCACCACCAGATAAATAAATATTTGAAATCTCTTAAAAATGATTTAAACAATAAAATCCTTGGAATTTCTTGAGTGGTAGAGGGTCTTTTATTATTGATAACTAGCCTACTTTGACCATATATGATAGAAGTTAATGAGATGACTCCAGATGTAGGGGTGAGGGGAGAGTGACTAGATAGCTTCTGGATGCGGGCTGGTCACCAGAAGAACCAACTACCTGATTAGAGGGGTAGCACTTTGAACCCTACTTGGAGGTCAGGGAGGGTGGTGGCACTGGAGATGAAGTTTAATCACGTTGCCAGCAATTTAACCAACCAGTCCTAGCTAACAAAATCTCACTGAAAGCCTCTGAATGATGAGATTTGTAGAAGCTTCCTTGATGATAAACAGTAGCAGGAGAGGGAGTGTCTCAACAGTGAGACAGAGACTGTGCTTAGGACCCTTCTTCATTTACCCTATTTACCTCTTCATCTGGCTTTTCATTTGTATTCTTTATAACAAACAAGTGATCATAACTATAGCTCTTTCTGTATCATTCTATCAAATTATCAAATTGGGGGCAGTCACTGTGTCTTTAGCCTCTGGGTTTTTCACTAATTCTGGGTAATTAGTATCAGAAAGAATTGAATTGTAAGCCTGTGCTGTGCTTAGTCACTCAGTGGTGTCTGACTCTGCAACACTCTGGAGAGCAGCCCGCCAGGCTCCTCTGTCCATGGGATTCTCCAGGCAAGAATACTAGAGTGGGTTGCCATTTCCTTCTCCAGGGTATCTTCCTGACCCAGGGATCCAGCCCATATCTCCTTGGTCTTCTGCACGGCAGGCTGATTCTTTAGCTGCTGAGCCATGGGGAAGCACCCCCTTACACACACACCCAAAGAATTGTTGAAATAACATGGTTTTTATCATTTCTTAGCTAGATATGCGAGAGAATGGAGTGCTCTGGGAGAAAATACTTTTACATGGTACTGTTAATGTAGAAGAGATGTTGCTTATATTTATTCATCTTATACCATCCACTTTACAAGAAGGACAGAATAATCATTGGTAATAACTCATCTGAAGAAATTTGCTTTTCATTTTTTCAAAAATCCATTTCAATAACAATGAAAATAACAACAAACTACAGTCACAACAGTGGAGCTACCATCAGAGTTAGTAGGGCTATCATGTATCATATTATAGCTCTGAAATTGCTTTGAACTCTGTAGTTCTCAACACTCCTCCCATGACAAAGCTGTAAGGTAGGTATTCTCATTCTGATTTTTTCACTAACTTAGTGCATATAGAAATGAAGGATATTAGCCTGTATGGAATTCAGAGTCACAGAGAGAACTCTGCACACAGAGAATGCAGTATTAGGAGGTGCACTGTTACACAGATGAGGAGGTTCATTGTTATTTAAAAACTGGATAAAGGGCAATACCTATCATTCCAGTCCAATGGGAATAAGGAAATTCTAATAATAACAATTCTTAAACTTTTGTTAAGGTCACAGAGAAGTATACACCGTGAAAGAACGAAGGAGGAACCCCTTCCACAAGCCCTGCACCAACAGGAGGTTCTTTTCTGTTTTCATTCCTTCTTTCTTTCCTTCCCCTCACCCTCCTTCCCTCCCTTCCTCTCACCCTCCTTCCCTCCCTTGCTCCATCCCTCCCTCTCTCCCTTTTTTCCTTCTTACCTTCCTTCCTCCTTCTTTCCCTCGTTCCTCCTTTCTCTCTCTCTTTTTTAGAGAGCTACACTGTCTGAAGTCTGAATTAAAGAAAATCTCACCTCCCTTGTCCCCATCCACCCTCATATGATGCTGCTCACACAAATTAACTTCACACGTTCACAGGTGCATCTGAGCCTCTGGTAACAACATTTTAGTATCTTTTACAGTTCCTACAATTATCTAGTCTGGCACTTTATTAATTATCACTATACTGCCTCCAAGTTTATGCAGCATACAACCTGGGAAACATTCCAAATACCTTTTCAGAGGCCCAAGCTGTAGAAACTTCTCTAAATTTAGAGAGCTGCGCACAGGTGGTGCTGCAAAAGACTTGCCGATGATACACATATAAGACAGACATTCTTGCTGCTTAGCCAAGGGACATGGGAATCTCAGGAAAATCCCTCTTAGCATAAGCCATTTATGTTATCATCTGTTGCATCTGGGAGATTAATTCTTTGTAGCAGACCCCAGAGACCCCTTGGTGTACATTGAACCTAATTACAGATATTAATATAGTTCTAGTTGACTCTCAACTTGATAAGCCCTCAAGTTAGCATTTTGGGAAGTTTATTATTGCCAATAATGCTATTTTGTTAACTATATATTTAATCACTTCATCACTACTGCAATAAAAGGATGCAGACATATTTTCTACATGTGCTTATTGGTATTATTCAGAAGTGATGCTTACTAATGCATTTTTGGACAAAGAGCATTAAAATGCATGAACTCTGCCATCTAGGAACATTCAATTAAAGCCATGCCAGGTGAGAGAAACAGAAAAACAGATATGACAGTTGTTAACAACAATGAGAACAAGACATCTGATCAAGTTGAGAAACCAATGCATGGTTTCAGGCAGCCTGGGAAGATTTTGTAGTACCTCATTCTGTATATCATTCAACTGTACCAAAACTAACTTACTGAAAGTTCAGAATAAAATGAGCATCATGGAAAACACTGAAGGTGCTACAAAGTTGAAAAACGAAGTCATTAGAAATTTTCCCATCTCACACTGGGCAGGATAAGACAAGAACTGTGTTTTTCCATAATAGAGCAGGAATCCAAAATCCAAAAGACTGGGTGTGTAGTGATAGAAAAGGGATGTCTGAGTACACTGAGGCCAAATGGACTAGTGGGCAAGTAGCCCCTGGACTAGGTTATCTAAAGGGGCAGTAGCCCCTCGGTTTCAAATAACCAGTATCATTTAAGAAATTCTATACAGTAGTTCTAATATAATTTACAGCCATGATTTAAAAATTATAGCCCAGTATTTTGAAATATATATGGCTACCAGGTTCTGCCTAGGGGCTGCTAGTCTGCTAAATTTTGGTAAAGCAATAATAATGATAAAGGTGAGGCAGGGGTTGGGGGGACAATGCTGGGAGAGTAACAGAAAAGAATGGTATATACTTCATATACTTGGTGGTAAAGTCAGTGAAAACTTCATGATCCAGTGTTTTCCAGTTCTATGAAACTGCAGATTGCATTATGAGAATAACCTTCAAAAAGATACACAAAGTGTTAAAAGAGGTGTGGCCAGCCCCATGGATTAGTGCTAATGTTATGCAAGTATTATTACCAACATGAACATGGCAGAGCTAATTACTGTTTTCATGAATGGTGAAATTTAAAGCCAAGGAAGCAATAAAGTCAGATTTGAATTTAGCATAATTCTTCTGACAACTGGGTGGAAAAGAAAGTGAGTTGGTTCTAATGATATCTTGAGGTCAATTAGATCTGGTAAGAGGTTCTCATTGTCATCCAGATGAGCAACGTCAAGAAGTTTAGAAAGAACCAAGGGCATAGAAAGGAGGGGACATATGCAAGGGAGATGGTTGATAGAAATGAAATAATTTAATGACTATATCTGAAAACCAAGAAAAGAAACT